TATATATATATATATATATATATATATATATATATATATATATATACATATATATATATATATATATATATATATATATATATATATATATATATATATATATATATATATATATATATATATATATAAACACTAGAACTGGGTTTTCTTTTACATTCATTGCCCCATCATTACAAAAAATCTAATGAAAATTTTCTTTTGGACAGCTTGTAAATGATTGCAATAATTTATTTTTATTTCTTTGAATATATTCTAAGTTTGTGCTGCGAATTTTCATTAATTCGTTCTATATAATCGCAGTTGTCTCTATCCTAGAAAGAGACGTTACAATACGAGTCTCTATTTCATGTCAAAAATAAGATATTTGACTTTATTATTATTTTATCGGTCAAAGGAATTTTAATGGTAGGTATAAAAATTAATTTATCGAATATGTATTTGATATTTGAGACGGGAGAGACGGTATTTATATAAACTAATTATAGTATTTAATGATATTCCAAATATATAAATGATTCATCAATTTGAATAACTAACTATATTATTTTACATTGTTTAAGAATTTGCTTCAAATTCTTAAACTTATTCTTACATTCATTGAGAATGAAATGACTTTGATAAATTACATTAGTTAGATATTAAGTCCACCTATTAAATTTTATCTACTTCAAGATTTAAAAAAAATCCACCAATCTTGTATTTTTCTTAGTAAAGTACGTCGCCTATCTCTAGCTTGAAAAGAGTTTCGATAAATCAAAATATACTAAAATTTATTTTGTTATATATAAACATACATTTACTTGTTCAATAATATTTCTATGACTATTTAAAAAAAATTCCAGGGCTCATCTCCAAACATTGTAACTTTTGATAAATCTTAACTTTGACGATATTTTAGTCATATTTTTATCCAAAATATTATTTACTAATCAAAAAATTCTTTGAAGCCGTTCTTGTTATAATGAATTATTATGTACATTATACACTACAAAACAGGGACCCATTTATACAAAAATCTTAAAACTCGCGTAGAGCCTCTCATTTCTCAAGAACAACCATGTGACAACCCAATTTACACACATTCATACATACATATGTATGTCTTACTATGTGAAATTTTGTGGTGCATAACTACTAGATCTATTTAGTCCGGTGAATTATCTACAATAACAATACATATGTAGACAAGTTAATTATGTGTGCCTTCCTTAGTGTATAAGAGCATCTTCGACCGGTTTCACCACTTTTTCATCAAATCCCAGTTAGTGTGGTGAAAAAAATGGGTTCAACTCTTATCGGTAGTACACTATTTTACTCTTCCATCATTTTTTGTGGAAAATGGTATTTGTAGTTTTCAATGGGTTTCACCAAAATTTAACCAAATATTAAAATAATAATATTTCACAATTTCACCACTTATAGGAAATGAGATTTGGTTTGGTCTTCCATGGCATTTCACCATATATGCCTCAAAACTATAAATCTAATGTTAATCGTAGTTTTATAATACTTTATTTCCTAAATATTAATTATAGATCCAATGCTAAGTAATATATTTTCATAACCATATAATTTAAAAATTATGTTATCAATTATAAAAAACTGTCTAAACATGAAATATCATGAACTCAAATTATTTTAAATATAATAAAATCATACATAAAAAATAATCTCATAAATTATTGCATAAATGATATATTAAGTACGACATGAAGAATTTAAATAAGCAGTTCATGATGATTTAAATTTAATAATTTGAGTTATTATTTATCATGTTTTGTTATCATGTTACGTTGTTTGTTATTTTATGAGATATGTATTTCAATTTAAATGTCTCGTCCTGTATTTCATCAATTAAAGTGTGTTTCGTTAATCATTCTATTATTGCTTATTATATTTTATTAATAGCAATTAGCGTTTAGTTAAGTAAATAAATGAACTAATAAACATTAATACCAACAAAATATACAAATTAATTAAAAATAAACATATTTATATTATTAGAATTAATGTTTTGTTAATAATAACAAATATATTTATATTTTTAAAACTAATTTAATAACTAATACTAATGTATTTACGATAAATATGCTAATAAGTTGGTAATCGGGTGTAATTAGTTAAAATCGTCATTTTGTATGGTACTTAACAAAATGGTGTTAATTACGCCAAATCCTATTTTCACCTCTATCTTTGGTAGGAAAAATAAGATTTTGTGGAAAAAATAGAAAAATGATGGATCGGTGGGAGATGAAGATTTCTTCACCAAAAAATTTGGTGGAATAAGATTTGAGTAT